AAAGTGAGATGGTGAAGTGAGCTGGAATGTTGTTTTGACTGCTGAGAGATAAAGACACTCTAGATGCCGGATATAGAGACGGTGATTGGGGAAATAGAGTGATAACATAATGCATCCAGATGTGCTCACTATCATATCCTGATAGCATGAGCATTTGTGGTTGAATTGAAATGAATACCTATTGGGCAAGGCATTTGACGATGGAAGGAATTGCAACTGTCTGCGGGTTACTCAATTTATGCGTTTACTCACTCACGTAAGTGTCGGGTGCCGATTCCTCTGCTTGGCACATAGATTTCGATGACGAATCTCTCCAACATTGATCCTAAGTAATCTCAACCGGGTGCCAAGTGCCCCTCCCACCCCAATAGTGGCTTATCTCCATCAGTGCAGCGGGTGGGGACTTTCGCTGTCTGTCGGCGGGTCTCGTGAGGCAGCGGTCTGAGCTAAGCCGCCCGGATGTGTGGGGTAAGACCCGCAACACTCGTTCGATGGATGTTCCTTGCCATACTGGCGGCTCGATGGCAGACAATGCCGGCAGCGAGACGCACTAGCTACCCCATTTGCGTTTTCAGGCGGCCGCTGATGCCAACAGCGTCGTGGGTGGCGAAACAGCAGTGTTGTGAAATGTTGCCAGCTGACTGTGATGCTGGATATTTTGCACAGAAAATTATATAGATTTTAGGATTGATCGATTGTCGTGTCATTATTCAGCGGAAGGGTATTTTCCCAATTTGGGCTTACTTATGATTCATTTATATTTATTAACATCATATAAGTGGTCTATGCTATTTTATATAATTCATCACAAACCTGCACAGCTAAATGATATGTTCTCGTACGACAACTGCCACTTTTTATATCATGTCTAATGAACAAACTCCCGTGTCGGTGTCCTTCAGAAGGAATCATATCCCCTCAGCGCTGCACCATCCATCCGTGAGGGCACCTGTTCGATGCCCTCCGCCTGGCACGCGCTCACACCCGAGCTTCCACAGCACACCACCTCAGCCCGTGATACTCCCTGATTCATCTTTGTTTGCGGCTTCCGTGTGCACTGTGCGCGGAGATCAGGGTTTTTGTGGGCGGGACCGGCCTTCGCGGCGGGTCATTGTAGCGGAACTGATTCCACGATATGAGCTGATGATGGGAGGCGCAGTGCCGCTCTTTGAAGACTCGGGTCTTGTTATTGGCTGCAGGGACCGGAACAGTCTGAGCTAGGGTAGAACCGGAATCAGGGAAAAAAGAGTTACTTGCTGATGCTGATGATAGTGATGCCTCAAGTCCAGTCATTTTGCAAAATCATTACAATCATACAAAATCAGTCATTTTCATTTTACCCCTGCCCACCTGGCACCTACCGTCGATCAACAGAACGACTCGATCGCCACTCATTCTTCTTGCACATCCCGTCATTCCCATTTACCCGTGACCATGATGTCCAACGCTGTGGAACGTGCCGCCACCTGGTCTGATTCGGTAACCAGGCACGACTCACAGCTCAGCCGGAGTACGACTGGCAGCGACGTGTGTTCAATGCTTCGCTTGGTACATACTTGCCCAGTGTGCACCTACGGCCAAACACAATTGTGCACGCAATGCATATTTTCTTACTTTTGTTTCGCATGCTTCTGAACATCACTGGAGTAGCGTTGTATTTAATTTTGTTGTCTTCAAGGTAGGGAGTGTAAATTGAATGACCTGGTGTGAGTATTTCAGTGCCGTTCGGTCTTCGGTCGCTCGCTTTACGATCTCTCGTAAAGAGATGTCGTAAAGACGCGATGAAGCGGCGGTGATTGCTGAACGCTGATACGTCCTTTGATCGCAACTCTATTCCCTTATCTCCAGATTAGAGTGAATCGTTTGCTGAGGCTATCCTGCAGTCTCCGACGTGGGACAAGAAGAGGGGACAATGAAGCCGCCTCCCGTAAGAAGCTCGACAGGCTGGTAGCTTTTTCTCGACTTCGTGGCAGATTACGTGTAGGGGTCCTTGGAGCAAACTTACTTGTAGCTGGCGATCCGGCCTGAGGCTGCCGTGGCGGATTTTCTGATTACGTCGGGTCATGATGGGCTTAAGGCTCATGGATTAGTGTGCCGGGAAAACGAAAATAGCTCACGGCTGACTTTAGAGGCACACTCAACTTAAGTTATGGACGAAGGGCTACTGGTCTCCAAACATATGTCGCTTATCTTTAGCATTGATAATTGTTTTGATTGTCTTATAACAAACCATTTATATGGTGTGCTAACAGTAGTTTGTTTATCTATTGAAGTCTTGATAAAATGATTGTAAATTTTTACGATGTCTTTATGCAAGGGCAGTGCGCGGCGATGTTCGTGTCTCGTCGATTACATCTGTTCATGACGGTGGTAAATTTCACGCTATAGCTACTGGAGCCTAACACGCGACATTTACACCGTCCCATACAAGTCTTAACGATGTCAACCAAACGCCGCACACGCAATCGAACCTAATGGCGGCAGCCAGACTTTGCCACCACAGCCGCTCTGCAATCGGCCGCAGACCGCGCTCGCGTGCGTTCTGACCCCTGACACCTCCTGGGCGCCGGTCGGCGTGTCTCAGACCTGTAGCAATCGCCTCCCACGCCGTCGGCCCGCAGGGCTCGCCCAGCTAACGGCCGAGCCGACTCGGATGGGCAACACGTAGCTGCCCGAGGCGGGACCACCACAAAGGTCAGGGACAGCACGGCTGTGGCGCCCGCGGCTGTCGGCGGGCACGCTGACGGTTTGACGCCGCTCTGGCCTCTGCCGGCCCCGGGTCAGCCGGGTGACCGACTGCCTGCACGCTCGGGGTCGGACTTCGGCTGGCGGGTATAGGGTGGGCTGCAAGTGGTCGGGTCTGTCGCTGAGGCTGGCGCCTTTACAAGGAAGAGGGTGGCCTGCGGCCTGCGATGATAACTACGAAGGTTGATCGTTTTCCACATCGCGCAAAAAAATGGTACCGTTGCAGATGGGCGGGTGAATGCATGAACGAGAAAGGTGTTAAATAAAGATGCATCAGATAAAGCCACGCTTCGTGAGATGGGGTTTTGGTTGTTTGTAGCCAAGTAAATATCTGACTTTATATCGGTAGCTGAGCATTCATAGTTCATACTCTTCTTCTGTTAGTCCTTCCCGCCTCTCATCTAGTTACCTCAAATTTGTATGGGCTCTTTTCTAATGTATTCTTCATAAGATCTTCATAAGATCAGTGCAGTTATTTTGCGTGTATTTATAAAATCGAGTTTTGTTTCGGTGAGCAGGTTTGCTGAGCTTCAGCTAAGCAGCTTCAGCTGCTTCGGCTGCTTCGATGTCAGTCGGTCAAAACACAACCAACCTTATAGCATATCATCATTCTATACTACACCGAGTCTGCGTTCCTCACATTTCGGCGCGTAATGTAAACACTTTCACTGTCATTTGGCTGGCCGACGCGTTGATGTAAATCGCTCTCCGGTGCCGAATGACCCGTGAGCAGACGGTATGTTTTTGTTTGACGTGCAGGAATCCCGATGGTTGGTGCAGATGCGCTGCATAGGTGATGTAACAGATGTAGAAGCGCCGGCAATGCCGCTAAGCCCAGCTAGAAAGTATGATGGATTCCGAAGCATGTCCACAAAACACAAAAATCGCGCTGCTGAAGGGCTGTAAATACCTCAGCCAAGATAGAGATATCTGACTGATCTCGGCGTGGTGATTGGAATGTTACATAAGCTAAACGCAAAAATCGATTGCTGGTTACTGGTGGCTCACTACGGATACTATGCATGGATACTAGAAAAAAAAATGGATGGATACTGTGGTTTCTCGATGGGTTTGTCGTTCGTTTATAGAGCGTCCAGTATTGGTACGCGAATATTGCTATTGCACACCGAAGGATTACCTGAGGTCATGGATGCACCAGGCAACTGCTTGTGTTTGCCGAGAAACTAGTTTCCCTCGCTCGGGAATAGATAACTTTATCCGGTTATTGTCCGTGGACACACTTCATTGGAAGGTGGACAGGAAAGGATCGATTTCATTACGATGATATGCAACACAGAAGTTACTTATAGCAACTGGCTTAAACAGACGGTAACCAGTATTTATTGGAGCAACTTGGCTTGCATTGGACTTTTGCAGTGGATAAGGGCAAAAAGCAACCTACGTCACTCTCGATCAGATGTCCATTGCCAATCTATTGACTACAGGGCCCTAAGCAAGGACTAAACCGCACGCTGGATGCTATGCCTGTGATTTTCAATATCGCATTGTTTTCATTTTCGATAGGGAGGTCATTCATGCTTAGCATTACCGATAAAAGTCTTTAATGATGCACATTATTACATATTACACAGGCGTGCAAGCAAAAAACAATGTTGGTGTGCTAAACGCTATGTTCTAACTAGGATGTGATGTTTTATGTTTTAACTGAATGAATGTGGTAATGAAAGAACGTAAATTGGTTTAAAATTATTAAAATATATCCGTTGCTTACCTATTGCAATTTTATTTTCTTAGTTGAAATTTCGTTAATTTCATCCGGCATAATGACATTAATTGTAATTTAGGCTATAAAATTAAGACTTTCAAGCCTTTTAAACTGATAAATATTACACAGTATGAAAATGTTGAATGATAGTAACAGGCTTTAGGAATGAATATAATGTTTCTGTAACGAAACTCTTCCAGATTGTGCTAATCTTTTAAGCAATTAAAATATTTTACGTCGGCTGGAAATTTACATTGCAAACGCCAAATGCTTTTCCGATAAGTCAGTCCATCATAATCATGCTATGCAGAGCTAACCAGTATCAATTTTCCGACTTAGGAATGAAGAAAAAATCCCTGAATAACGGCGGGCGTAGCCCCGCGCAGACGGCCGATTCGCGGCGCTCGGGCGGCGGCTCTGGCTCTGACGCCGTGCGCTAGTGCCGGGAGCCGAGCCGGCGCGGTCGGCGGCGGCGGCGGCGGCGGGGCCTATAAAACTATGTGACCGGCCGGCGCTGCGACTCATTCGGGCAGGGACGCGAGACGTGCCGTTTGCTACACCGAGTGCTCGGTCGGTGCCGCTGGTGACAAAGGAGGTCCCCTCCAGGACACCGGCCATGATCCTGAAAAGGTGGGTCCACGAACGGAACAGGAACAGCCGGGAATCACACCGTCAATAAAAAATGGAGCGATGCAATCAAAGAACTTCATTACCTATGTAATTTCTCATGCATATCTAAATTTGTTTTCTATGAATACAAAATCGCTTTCTTTCACAACATGTCTGGTTATTTGTATTGTCATCATTATCACCATTCTTTATATTTTATCTTGAAATGTTTATGTGCATCGCAAACAAATGTTAACGTATTCTAACTGATGCCATTCAAATTGAGCCACTTACCTAACATATGCAACCGTTTAAAACACCTTCTAGTGTAACTGTCTACACAAAATTACTAAAAAAGAACTCGTCGGTTGATCATATCAGCATGTCCATCACCCTGAATCGGTTTGTTAATGTTACGTTGCGTATGAATTTATTCCCACGCCGACTATTTTGGAGCATATGTATCTTATGTTTACGCCCAGTCTCTTGACGTCCACGGAACATTTATAAAAATCGACAACCTTAAGATGCATGAAATCATAAGTCCAATTTGATCTTTATTATGTAATGAGGCCTCACAACTCATTTTAACATTTTAACAACTACGAAACAATGCGTTAAGCATTCCAGAGTGTTGAACAGATAAAACGCCAATGACAAAGTGTTGTGGGTGCAATCAGCCTAGATTCAATGATAAGATGATATGATTTTACACGATCAAACGAAATTGTCAGCCTAGACTTACGGTTCCGCGATGAAGAAACATTGCTGCTCGAAGCGTCGCGCGTGCTCCCCGACAATAATAACTTTCCGGTCCGCCGACCCTCCCTCCTCTCCCCTCCCCCGTCGGCGGGACCGGCAGACGGGGTTCGTGCGAGACGCTAGGTCAAATCGTGACCGGCTAGCTGGGTCGAGCGAGCCATTTGTGAGGTCAGAGTGAGCGCCACAAGACCGATGGCAATTTTCGGTCGTACTATATCAGGCGAGGAACCCTGGCACATGCCTTGGCCGTCAATCAGTGCAATGGAAAGTGGAAAACCGTCAATGGAAATCCCGGGAGAAGAGGCCTCTATGAGTGACAATTCGCTGGGAAACTGCAGAGAACATGTGGTTGACAGAAATCACTGGGAACTTTGGATGCATTCAACCGTGCCCAATGTTAAGGCTGCCTTGCTGATGGCACACGTATTGGCGACTCGACACTTTTGAAAGAAGCCTTGTTGATATTCACGCTCTTACTGGGCCCTAGAAGTCAGGCGACAGGTTGCGAAAGGCCGGGGAGTGTTTTCCCGTCCCATCTTTGGGGCTGCGCCAGGGACCGGGCGGTCGAGGCAGGGTCTGCATAGGTAACTATATTGGCCACCCGTGCTGACCCCAAATCCCTTCCCCATCCCCCGAACCTCATCTCGGGCCGGCCATAGGTCACCTCGGACGTAATCCGCCGTCTTGTGCGCCACAACCGGTTTCGGCGCTGCCGCCTTTCTATGCATTCACTTTTACTTGCGGCGCCGCGACCTTGGGCGAGACGGGAAGGTAGGCTGCGCCGCAGCACTCCCGTGCCGTCCGGCGCAGCCGCTCCGCTCATCTGCAGCTGAAGCCGGCCGGCCGGCGTGACGGGGCGGGGGCGGAGGGGTGGCGGCAGCCGCTGCCGGCAGCTCTGCGCGACTGTGGGCGACGCTTGGGCAACAGCGGCCAGTCTGGCGTGTGGCCCGGTGGCTTCTCGCACGCCCCCGCGCGCCAAGTCGCCTTCGGGTCGGCCGGTGCCGCAATCGGGGGTGAACGGGACGATTGCATGGCACGTGGAATGGAACCGGCTGTCCCATCGGCTACTGAGCCATTGTGCTGCAAACGTACCCAGATGACGAACAAGTGTTGTGAAAACGCGGAAATGCGCGGTGGCTGGTCACAGTTTGGCAGAGAGGATGGGCAGGCTTACGTGATAAAGAGCCATTGCAATATTAGGGAGAAACAAGCGTGATGAGGAGAGATTGTTGCATGCTCTTCTCATCTGAGCGCTGTAGAATCAAAGATAACGTGGCCCAAGAAAACGGATATGAACTTACATACAGTTACGCAGAATTGAAAATACTGCCTGCAAAGTGCATTCTGTAATTGGTTTCCCAGCCGGACTTTTGCGGTGGGATTTTCAGAAAAAGGCAGCGAGAAAAGTCTCGGCGCACGATGACCGCGATGGAGCAGAGAAACTAAGCATGCGCGGTGAACTAGCCGATCAGAGCCAGAACGCTGACGTTTCTCCAGAATAATGTAAGGAGTGGAGTGCCCAACTCAGTTTTGTGCTGCACGAACTATTCAATTCTCACGACGACAAACACGTAGCTGCACCCCAGTAAGTTCGGCATTATCCCACAGCCTCGGAGAGACTGGGTCAAGTCGAGACTTCTTTCACGACTCGGTTCTCCCCATTGTTTACCACTGGGGTGGAGCCCCCGCCCACACCACTCGCCCTAGTCCCCAGCGTGCGACCAATGCAAGGCCAAGCAGTGGGCGCGGCGGCCGGGGCAGCGGGCCCACAAAACCAACAGGCCACCGGACACCGCCCATCGGAACACAGGGGGGGGGGGCTGCCCAAACGGCCTCGAACACCGTGGAAGAATGTGAGGTGAATAAGCGGGCGTACCCCGAGACGGTGCAAGGTGCCTGGAAAATGGTCAAACCGCCAAGGGTAGAGGTCCGACTGAGTCAGGGTCACAAGAGCGTCACATGGGAAGCTTTGAAGCTGCGAATGTACATAATGTTTAATTGCTGATGTTGGTCTCAAGCGGATCTGTTGGGTTGATAGTCTCAGATCAGCCTCTTAGTTTTTTTACTGTCGTAATCTGAAACATTACGTGTCCAATGTAGTTAGTTTGGTAGTGTCGCACAGCTCCCCATTCAGGTCGAGATGGAAATTTATCTTTCATCTACCCATGATAGCTGTGTGCATGTGTGTGTTTTCGGGCGCCGTGAGTGGCGTAACCGGGCCGCCCCACCCCTCCCGCCGTGCCCGAGCCACGCCCATAGTTCGGCGTCGTGGCGCACGGCCCTGCCCAGACCACGGGGCGGGCCTGATCCCAAACGGGGAGAGTGGCTCGACGCTGCCTCTGGCCTATAGAGCTCATTTCATACGGCCAATGTTGCCCAACGCTGGGAGGACTTGCTCCATCCTTATTCACCGTTTGGTAAGCGCGATTTAATATCAGTCGCTGCAGTTGAGTTATGCGCCGAATCTTATTACGATAAGTGAGTTGCTATCCTGCTTAGACCAGTTGGCAAATTGTGCTTGCTTTGGAAGTCAAAGAGCCCTTTCTGATGTCACTCAATGCCAAAGTAATGCTTACAATATCAGGGCTCCTCTCAGCTCCCACTGGGTGGCGACTAGTGGTGCCAATTTCATGAAATTTCAATTCCAATTCCGATCCAATTCCAAGAAATTGCCAAGTAAATTTCCAATTTTGTCCAAAGCGGGGGCTATTCCAATTTTTAACGATTTTTGCATTTTTTGCGTAAATTTTAAAAGTGTTTAAAAGCGTTTTAAAGGCCTCCGTTTTAAAATTTTAAATTTTAAAGGCCTTGTGTTCCGATTAATTTCCAAAAAATGTTAAGAATTCCGTCCAAATTCCAAATTGGAATTGGACAAAAATTGGAATTCCAAGAAAAGAAATTCCGATTGGCACCAATAGTGGCGACCGACTATCGATCGTCAATGGATTGGAAAACTAGCGCGTCATTTTCTAAATTAGCGTCTAGGTATTTGCTTCCTTCCCTAGCAGTGCCGTCGCCCTCGGGCCTCCTATGACATCCCCGGCGGCTCCCGGAACTCCCTCGAGCCTCTGTTGACCTTTGTCCTGTGATGTAACTAGGTCAGCATAAATATCCTTACCGCTGCGAGGTCGCTGCAATAGATTCTCAGTAAGAAATGCCGCGCGCAATGGCCAGCCATCCAGCAAAAACGGAAACGTGCCACGGCTATTCAGTCGCAATTTATTTCCCCTTCATCTCGATCTCACTAAGAGACAATATTGTCGAGTGCGTTTTTAGTTGCACTGTTGATTTGCACACTAAGCCTACCTACAAAACAGTAAACACTGATGTCTTATCCAGGTATCACGGCTTGCAATGCAGCGTGAGGTCAGCTGTATTTAAATGGCAAAGGCTCGGTTTTTATCTCGACACTCCGGGACCAGCAACTTGCTATCTCAGATGTAATGCTACCTTTATCACTGTAAGGCCAGCGGAAGAAAACATCTCAAGGTCCTCACGCCGTCCACGTAGTAGTTCGCTGGGTCGTGATTTGTCAATTGGTCTTATGTCGTCACGTCCTGGGCAGATAACGTCCGACACGAGTCTAATGAGCGAAACACGAGCTAATCAGTCACCGATCTCACAAAACGGCGTCCAATCGCAGTAAATCTCCTTCTCGGCCGGCTCTGGGATACCGCGGGCGGTGCCCCACTTCGTTTGCCGTCGAGGACAGACCTTAGCCTTGCTCCAGGCCTTGTCCAACTGCTGATAATAGGGAGGGGAAACCGGGGAGGTCACGTGACTGACCACGCCCGATCGGCTGAGCGACGTGTTTCAGTGCTCTCCAAGCCAGAGAGTTTTCCTTCAGTGGAAGCGTGCGAAGTGTAGAGAATTCTGGCAGATTTCTGGGAAGTAATGCGCCTGATTTCTCACATCCTGTTCCGTAGGTGTTCAATATTTTTAGACTGTCGGCTGTTAACAAAATCAATAGTGTTGTGCCTACAAGAGCGTCTTTAAGAGGATGCCTTTTTATCGCGACAAATAACAGAACTCCGGTATTTGGTAACGTTAACCTTGGCTGCCTTGGCTCTATTATAAACCTATTACGTTATTCCTTGCGGCATTCTCTTCCTCGAGCAGTGTACTATTAAAGATGCCAGCTGGTGCCCAAATTGCCCCGGTGCTACAATTAGGCAGCCAAATAATAATTTTCCTAGCATCCTCCGGCACTAGCCCACGGCTGATCCCTCCCCATCGTTTTAAAATTAGAACGAGCCCCG